GTGTGTTATGTGTGTTGTGTGTGTTGTGTGTGTGTTGTGTGTGTGGTGTGTGTGTTGTGTGTGTTGTGTGTGTTGTGTGTGTTGTGTGTGTTGTGTGTGTGTTGTGTGTGTGTTGTGTGTGTGTTGTGTGTGTGTTGTGTGTGTTGTGTGTGTTGTGTGTGTTGTGTGTGTTGTGTGTGTGTGTGTTGTGTTGTGTTGTGTTGTGTGTGTGTGTGTGTTGTGTGTGTGTGTGTGTTGTGTGTGTGTTGTGTTGTGTGTGTTTTGTGTGTTGTGTGTGTTGTGGTTTGTGTGTGTGTGTGTGTGTGTGTGTGTGTGTGTGTGTGTGTGTGTGTGTGTGTGTGTGTGTGTGTGTGTGTGTGTTTTGTGTGTGTGTGTGTGTGTGTGTGTGTGTGTGTGTGTGTGTGTGTGTGTGTGTGTGTGTGTGTGTGTGTGTGTGTGTGTGTGTGTGTGTGTGTGTGTGTGTGTGTGTGTGTGTGTGTGTGTGTGTGTGTGTGTGTGTGTGTGTGTGTGTGTGTGTGTGTGTGTGTGTGTGTGTGTGTGTGTGTGTGTGTGTGTGTGTGTGTGTGTGTGTGTGTGTGTGTGTGTGTGTGTGCGTGTGTGTGTGTGTGTGGTTTGTGTGTGTGTTGTGTGTGTGTGTGTGTTGCTTGTTGTGTGTTGCGTGTTGTGTGTTGATATTTGGTGACTTGCAAGTGGTGGAAATCCACAGTGCATCCGGACATGAGAAGTCAAAGTTGGGACGGTGAATTCCAAAACCACGGGGATCATCGGTGTGGAAGGCCTTTGACACACGGCCACGTCTTCCAGGTCGTAAAACATGTGGGTTTGTCTCAATGTAGGGAAACCCTCCAAACAAATGGCGTCCTTCGGTTTCCCTCCAAACCAAGCCAATAAATGATACCCTCAAAATTATCTACTCATTCAAAAGCTGTGATTTCCATCCTGGCAACCACACGCAACAACTTTACGAGTCCATGTTGGATTGCGCGAGGTAGGAAAAATACACCCAAGAATCTGACCAAAGCTCCAAAAAACATGGGTCAAAGCCTTGGGGCAAATCTTTGGAGTCCTCTCCAGCCCCATGCCCTTTTCGGCCAGGCGCCTTTTTGGGCCCCTGGGGCCAGTAGATGTACATCCGAATGTCGTCTAAATCCTCCACCTTCGCAGACATCACCTAGGACACCATGCTGGCCAAAAAAGGAGGTCATTTTGGCCCTGACGTGGGTGTCCTTTTGGCAAAGTTGCTGGGTTTCTCCGGAAAATGGGGTATATAACCAATCTAAACCAGTGCTATCTATTCTAAGCGAGCTAAAAAAGGACAACTATGGGCCCTGAGAGATTCCCCTGAGATCACACTTTCCGGACCTACCAGCGAGTGTGCGCTCCATGGCTGTGATACAACCAGTTGAGCAAAGAACCGGAGGTGGCACAAAAAGGACGAAACCCGGGAGATTGTGGCCTCTCTCAACCAACTAAAGGATACTACTCGCAAACTGACGCATTGTTGAAGGGCTCCAAGTGAAACCCAGCTGAAATAAATGAATACTTGGACACACACCAGGGTGAATGCGGTTGGGCAGAAAGTGGCATCTACTGTACGGGAGTTTTCCATGGAACCAAATAGTGCGACTTGTGCTGAAATAGACTCATACTGGGACATCATGTTACAACGTACAGGTGCATCTTGTTTTGACCATTTAGGGGGTGTAGAGACAAACCGAAATAACACCGTTGCCGATTTGAGGTTTCCCTCATTTTGAGACGAGCTGTTTTAGGGGAACCTCTTTTTGGTTGGTTTGAGACAAACCCATATGGAAGTAGTCTTGTTTGAGGGGACCATCCACAATGATGGTGTTCCTCTTGGCTGCCCTTTAACCTTTAACAAGAAAAAACGGCCAGTCCGGAAACAAAAGATAGACCCGTCTGGGTCACCATCCAAACCTGGTCTTAAAACGGTCTACCCAGAACCATGTAAACAAGTAAAAAGGCGGCTGCAGCCATTTATGGTTGGGATAACTCCTTGCTTACCTTCATCCTGGGCTTTTGATTGTGGCTCACTTGGTCAAAACAGTGAGTGTCGCCCTTCAGCCAAAAACTTGTTGACTTTACTGGGGCGGACCCTCAAAGGGTTCGCCGGATCTAGGAGTTTCTTCCAAATTGGGGGACCTTTTCAGGTAGAATCAACCCCACTCGTTGAATGTGTTGCGCAATGATTCCAACTGACTCAACTATTCCTGTCTTCTATACTCTCCAATATACATATATATATATATATACGTATATATATATATATATATATCTTCATTCTATCCAATACTTGGTGGATAGTGGTGGTTTTTGAACATTGAGGAGGTCCACTGACCACTAAAACTGTTGTTGAGTGGTCATCTTGGAATCAGGCGGGCGGATTCCTTTTGGCTTCCTTTACAAACCATCCAAGGGGTCCGGTTCCTACTTCGAGACAGACCCACCTGACCTTCGACCAGTGTCCAAACCTCCCCTCCTTCCGGGAATCGCCCGGCCTCGAGGCGGGAGTCCACCTCATGAACCAGGGCCTTCACCTCGCGCGAAGCGGGTTTGCCGTGTTGGTGGGCGGAGGTCTTGTTTGGGGATCCCCAAAACGCCCGAGTGTCCCTTTGGTTCCCCATAAAAGTCAACCAAAAGGGACAGCCAGACGTCAGTGCGCAAAAACGCGCCTTCTCCTCTAGTCGTCCCATTCGACGACTCAGTGACTCCTGACGCGTGCGACAGAAGCAACTTCTGAGTCGCATTTCTCTGCCTGCTCTTTCAGAAGGGACTCGATCAGGCTGCTGTTGTCGGGAGCGGAGGCTGTGGCCTCCTTGCAAGGGCGCATGACTTCTCACTTTCTGCGTTGGCCAGCAATCAACCAGATACGACTTGACACCTTCTGCACGTCCCTATGGCCAGAATCGAGATAGGCCCAATCAGGCGACCACCCAAGATTGCCCTCTGGGGAGGTGGTTTAAACAAATATTGGCTGCCCTCAGATCCCCTGCCAAAAGTTTAACTCGAAGTGGGTGAAATGGAGATCAAACCACTAAACCAACTAAAAAGATCTAAAAAGCTAAAAGGATGGCTGGGCTTGCCACCGAGATTAATCAACCCCAGTTTATTAATAGGAGGGTATCCCTGGGTTTGTTCAGAATGCTGGATTTTGGTTGAAAAGCAGTTGCGTCAAGACACTTCAATGGAACAATTTGTCGTCTTCCGGGCCTGCAGCAGCTGCAGAAGCTCCCGGTACTCTGCCTGTCACAGGGCGACTTTTGGGCCGATGGCAAACCAGCCGGGCGTTTCAAACCTGAAATCGGTGCGCCTTTGGTTGACGCTACCTTTCTTAGAGGAAACCCAAAAAGGATGCGTAAACCCATCCTTAAAGTCACGGTGCTTCTTTTAAGGGAAACCCAAAAGAGGGTTTCCCCGTATCTTTAAGACACCAGAAGGGGTTCCTCGTTTTCAGCTTCGGCTCCCTGAAGAGGGAATTTCCTTTCGTGACTTGCTGGAAACCCGCCGAACCGGCAAAGACCAAGTGCACAGCTCCTGAAGCCAGGCGTATTCTGTTGGAGAGCAACTTATGCCTTGCTTTTTGTCATCGGAAACCACAAGGAAAACCTCCATTTTGGAGGCTCCCTTGGTGTTTACTCGGAAACCAAAAGGAAAACCTCCATTTTGGAGGGTCCCTTGGTGTTTACTCGGAAACCAAAAGGGAAACCCACCGTTTAGAGGGTCCCTATATTGACCCCTGGCCTTGTCATCCTTCGCCCGGGTGAGTAGGGCGCAAAGACGTTCGGCATCTGCGGCTGTTGGATCATCGCCGCCCGCACTCGCGAGGCACGGCGCAGCCGGACCGCCTGACGCACAAATGGCCTTGCTATTTTACCATGATCAAAGTCACCCCCTACTGTGGATGGACAAAATCCTGCACCACTTCGAGACAAAAGGACACCATCGCTTGTTGGTGTTTGCAGGGGAATCATCATTCAAGGGTTTCTCGGGTGTTGCAGGATTGCATCCATCCACAGTATGTGATGGGCTAAAGTGAAACAACCCCATGTTCTGACTTTGACCCCTAACAATCAAAATAATGACCCGAGAAAGCTGGCCAGCAACTCTGGAGGGCTTCCCCATCCAACCGTCTCCACGCAGCCGGTTCAAACCACCTTTCTTTTCATGGGGGCAAGGAACCCTAGAAAGAACCAATCATCCAAGTTGGGACCTTTCTTTTCATGAAAGCAAGGAACTGTAGCAACAAAAAAATCGGCACTCCCCCTGTGAGCCGTGGCTTCCCAAACCCTTCGACGGCCTGGCGGTTTCGCTCCTTTCGAGCGCCACGGCATTGGCCAGCGCATCGCTCGCGCAGAGCTCGCTCGCTCGCTGGTCGCTCGCTGTTTCGCAGGCCGCGGGCTCGCGCACTCGAGCCGAAGTCCGCGCACGCGAGCACGGGAAAGAGGTACCAAACCGTGGAAACGAAAGGGTGGGACCCTTTGACGCGAAGATATGGCGGTGCCTCAACATAGAGTTCAAGTCTCCCTGGAGAATGGGTTGTTGCCTCTTGGTTTCCCCTTTGACCTGGTACAACTCTCCCTGGAGAATGGGTTGCCTCTTGGTTTCCCTTCTCACAAACAAATAAGAGGGACTCCCAAAAAAACAAGACCCATACTGTGGACGAAATCCACTTCTCTCCATGGATGAAACCCTGTTTGAAAACTTGATAATGCTCGCAATCCCCACTGCAAAGCGATCGATTCGCGTGGATGATGTCCATTCACAAAGTACACTTCAAAGGGGTGTGTCTTTGTTTTGGAGGGTATCCCTTTTTGGCCTGAAAGGGAAACCAAACGGAAAACCACCCAAAATGGGGGGGGGAGTCCGATTCCCTTGGTCAGAGACAGAGCCATATCGCCGTCGGCGCTGAGTCGACGAGGCCCCGGCCAACTCCCGTTTGATTGCTTGTAAGGCAAACCACGGCGCCTCCGGACGCGGCAGCCGGCAGGCGGCAACGGGCTCGAAACGCCGTCGTGGTCTCGTTTTGTTAGGGTCAGGAGCCGCGTTGTGAGATGGTCTTAAATGGAAAGGAAGGGAAACCTAGACCATTTTGGGGTTCACCTGTTTCGAGATATCCACTAATCTGTTTAGCATTCGCAAAAGCCATGCTCATTGATGGTTCTCGTCAGGACCACCAACCAACAACCTCCACCACCCACCACCCACCACCACCGCCGCCGCCGCCACCACTACCAGCACCACCCTGCTGGGCAACATCCTGCAAAAAGCAGGCTGTGGTCGCCATGTCCCTTTTTCTTTCAAAGCCTCTTTTGTCGATTGTTCTTCTTTGGACCCACTCAAAAAAAAAAAAAAGCACCTCCAAAGACACCTGAAATGGACGGTCCTTGACCCAAGGAAAACCGCCCCCGTTTGGGAAAAGGGGTTGCCTGCCCTATGTCGAGACACATGTGGCTCAAAAATAGGGTAGCCCCAAAATGGCACCTTGGTAAACGACACCAAAGACTAAGACCTGCCTAACCCCAGCTGTTCAACAGGGATTCTTACATTATACACCTGAACATTGCAACTTGTAAATGGTGGCTTCCCCTCTTTTTTTTTCGGTGGAAAAAGCCATGTTTCAAACGGGCAAAATGTATCTGTTAAGGAGCCCTGCTCAATTTCGACCCAAAGCCAACTCTTCGCCCCACCTCAGCGCCAGAGCAGTCGGTGCCCAGCTGCAGAGGTCGAGAGTGCAGCCCTGCGAAGTTTTCTCACGTCCGATCCACTCGTGGATTGGCTGAAGGTCTCAACTGGACATGGGGCTGCTACAGTTTTTTTGGGGGTTACCCCTTTTCGGATGTTGTTTTTCTTTTTCAAAGGGACACCAAAAGAAAACCAGCCGAAGCCCAATCTTAAGACGTTTTTGAGGGTTACTTCGATGGTCTTGGACGAATCGCTAAATGGATAGTAACCCTGGTTATAGGGGACTTACAACCATGCTAAGTGGGTTACAACCAGGAATACTGACCACTTAGCTAACTCCCAGACCATCTACCCTTTTTGGATGGTTTTTAAAGGGACGCCCAAAGTTGAAACCGGCCGAAGCCCTCTTTTACGACAAACCCACACAGCACTTCAGGTCACTTCGAAACCTGTATCCGAGGGTGACTGGTACAGGGAAAGTGAGACTTGACTGAAAAGCAGACTGCTACATGAATTCCGGCAGCAGTCGGCCCGAAGCTTCTCAACCAAACTCAGGCTGAAATGGGTTCAAGTAAACAAGAAATACAAGGGACAGTGGCCAGGTGAACTATGCAAGGACACACACACTCACACGTGCAAATCCAGTAATCGAGAGAACGGACCCCTGTCCTCCGGTGATGTCTGCAAACTTCCTGAGGCTGCGAGAGCTCTCGCTCAGGTCTTGGCCGTGGCTCTGTTAAAAGTCGTTCGAAGTTCGGCCCATGCCAGTTCATGTGGCTGCCTGTTTGGAGGTAATTCAGCAGCGTGCCCTTGTGCACAAGTAGGTGTAGGAGTAGCTCGAGCGGTACATACATACCAAAAGCAGCAAGTAAGTTGCTCCGTATGATAACCTTCAGACTAGGCGGCATCAAATTTCAGGGGATTCCGCAAAAGGGGCAAGCTTTCCTTACGCCCCGTGTGGCCACGTCAGCCCGACGGAGCGACGACACAGGCGGCGGCCACTGAATTTTGCGCCGAGTCTCTGCTCCAGCGCTTGGAACATGGCCTGCGCCCATCCGATGTCCTGGACACATTTGGGTGCGGCTCAAAATGTAAGAGCCAGGGCAAACCGCAGGTTTTAGTCTTTGGTTCCATTTACCTTTTGGTGCCATTTTGGGGTTACCCTATTTTTGAGCCACAGCCATTTGAAGGTCTCAACCTGACAACAGAACCTTCCTGTTGAGGCAAAAGACCAAAAAAAAAACATGCCAGGTGGTATCCCCCAACAACCCCAGAACCGCCCAGAAGCCTCCGGTACCCTCCCAAACACTTTCAGCTGACAAAACCCACCACCAGAACTTCTTCACTCCTCCTGTTTTTCCCCTCAAAAGGCAACTTTTTCGGGTCAGAGTTCCATGGCGACTCAGCTCAGTCCGGAAACCGCTGCGAGCTGCTGCAAACGCTGCTGCCGCTACCTTGCGATGGGAACAAAAAGCCATGGGATGCAGAGAAAAATGGTCGGAAGTAAACCAACCATACGCAACCACGAAACCATGCACCATGGTAAACCAGCCATGGCGAAAAGGTTCACGGCGAACGTGGTCGTTGTTCCCATCACTTACAATATGTTTGACGTTGCAGTTGTCAAAGCTAGCACTGGCCAAGTCCCACATTCGAGAGCTGGCCCTCTTCGCATGCTTTGCAGAGCAGAAGTTGGTGTCAGGCTCTCAACAAACAAGCTGGTGCTCAGTAGGGAATGACCCAGTGTGTTGGCAATGAACCTATGGATTCCCGTAAAGGAAACCATAGGGCATGGTTTGTAGGGTCATTTCCTCATTCCCTGCTGAGAACCGGCAAGCAACGCAATTCACTTCAACTAACCTCCTGTGCAGCTTGTCTAATCTCATGAATGATCATTTCCAATATGAGCCACGTTCAAACTGAGTCGTGCCACCATCCCCCTTCACCTCAAGAGATGACCAAGAATCTGGACTGTTGCTCCTACCTCCAAGAAACTTGCCGCACGCGCCTGGCCCGCCATGCATAACTGATTCGGAGCCAACTTACAACAGGGCTCCCTATATTTCCCCTTAAAACATCACCCCCACCAAGGGATACTCACCTTTCATGGGCCAACAAGGTGATGTTTATCTCACGGGCACACGCGTCGGAGCGAGCGCCGACCTCCGGGCCTGCCGGAGCCGAGGCCAAAACAAAACCCGGCACTTATGGCCGAGGGCAAGACGCACTCCAAGGAGGAGTGACAAAGGAAGGCAACCAAAGAACAGGGCCGCGGCCAGGGCGGATCATCGCACCAAGCCGAAGCACCGCAGAGGAAACCCCCGCAGCGGCCTTTGCCGGAGCAAAAGGCGCAAAAAAATAAAGCGAGACAAGGGCGGGCCGTCACACGAAAAGTGTTTGTCAGGGACAAGCTAAATTCGGGTCAGGCCCGCCCTTTATAGCATGCAGATATCAGAACCGACAAAGCATCACGTAGCCACAAGCTCATCGCAACCGGCTCACCAGCTCAGCCTGCACCACGCTCCAGAAGCTGGAGGCGCAGTTCAAATGCGGGGCACCATCCGGCAGAGTCTGTGAGAGAGAACATCAGGAGGTCAAGTGCAAGGGGTTTCGGTAGCCCTCACAAATGTTCACGTCCAGCACAGAGGTAGCCGAAGAGCACCAAATGAACCACACGGCCACATAGAAGGAAGTGCTCGACCGCAGCCACGTAGGCGAGGAAGAAGCCACAACGCAAGTCCAGGTAATCCACAGAGCTCTCATTTCGGACAAAACTGCACACCACACCGAAAAGGACGCTCTCCTGGCCGGAAAGTTGATCATGAAGACGCAGCGCCCCGCCCAGGGGAAGGCGGGTTTTGTGGACGTCCGACCTTCCATCGGAGGAATGGCGGGACCCTGGGGCGCGACTCCCTGAGGCAAATGGCTTTTGAGCCGAGATGCCTAAAAGGTGATGTTTAAAACAGCCAAAAAGGGAAAAATAGGGACCCCTGTACAAGCCTGTGAACCATAGAGATCTTTTCCGGAACGGCTCCCATGCCTTTGCCACTGGACAGCCCAAAATCTGCCGGTTGGAAAAAATGAAACTCGAGGAGTACCTTAATACACCGCGAAGACCCAGTTGCCACCACGAATTTTGCCCATCCACATCTCTCATGCTTGTCAGGGCCCCCTCAAAAGTGACATAGACACCCCCGAAAAAAAAAAAAAAAAAAAAAAAAAAAAAAAAAAAAAAAAAAAAAAAAAAAAAAAAAAAAAAAAAAAAAAAAAAAAAAAACAGGACCCTCTATTGGCCTTTTGCGGCCCTTGTGGGTGGGGTGGGGGGTGGGGGAGGGACCTTCGCGCGGGCTGCTGATGCCGGTGCTGACGTCAGAGCCGCAGGGCATAAGCCTCAGAGAACAGATCAAAGGCTGGAACGCTGGAACGCTGGTTGAAACCACTGGGGAGTTGTCTGGTGCATATACATGTATAATATGCATATGCATATATATATATATATATAGATACGTATGTGTGTGTATGTCTGTATAGTTTTAAAAATCTATATGCGCATGTGTTTATTGTGTTTCTATATTCACATGCACACATGCAGAAACCTTTGCTTCCTTCCTTTACATGTATATATATATATATATAGAGAGACAGAGATAGAGAGAGATACATGAGGCACGGTCGGAATTACTTACTTGCGGCCGTTTCGCTACTTACTTTGAGAGTCCCCTATCGTTTGCCATGGCTTTGTGCCTTTTCACAATATCAATGAAACGCCGAATACTAAACTCAACAAAGTAATATTGACGGTTCTTCATATGGCTGTGGCTCAAAAAAGTGGTACCAAAATGGCTCCTTGGTAAATGGAACCAAAGACTAAAAGCCGCGTAACCCTGGCTCATACCCATGAAATACCCATACCCATATGAAAATACCCATATGGAATTTTGAGCCATACCCATATGAAATGGATTCGAATGCGACACACAGACCAATCGGCTTCGCGCTCGCCTGCGCCTCTTCTTTGCGCCCTCCCAATCGCCGCCTTCTCGCTTCAGCCTGGAGCGAGGATCTTCACACGGCGAAAGCGCCCGCCCCGTTAAAAAACCCACCCCCCGGTGCCCCGGCTTTGGCATACGAAAAGTGTTCACAGCCCAAACAAAAACGCACAGAAGCAAGAAAGCAAGCAAAACAAGCAAAACAAACCAATGAACAAATGAACAAACACCAAACGCAACCCCTTGCGGGCAAGAAACATGGACCAAAACTGGAGCTGTGCTTGGGGGGGGTTGAGGGGGAACAGCAGTGATGTGTTGCTTTGGGACTCTGCCAAATGGGATGTACATCCGCAAGGTCTGGCACGAGGGTTCACTATTTGGAGGAAGCCTCCCAAGAAGTCTACTATATACCCGGCACATGGCAGCAGAACAGGCCTACACTGTGGGCGTGTTCCTTTTTGAGAGTGCCCGTTTTTTCGGGGTGGTTTTGCAAGGCGAAACCAAGGGCCACCCAAACGAAGCAGCGTCAAGCAAACAGTCCAAGCAAAAGGGCGACCCAAAAACGCACATTGCACTGAATCCCGGCCACTCCTGGGAATTCCACACATCAAAAGGGTGGCGCCCATTTTGGCTATGAATTTTCAAGAGTGTGAACCACCCAAAAAGTGCCTGGTGACCTCAATCGAATTCTGTTCAAAGGCTCCCATGCCCATTGGTTGAGACTCGCCATTCCCAGGCTCTGCGAAACCCCGCCTCAACCTCGAGACAGGCTCCTGCTCCTGCTCCTGGGACTCCGTTGCAAGGGCGCAGGAGCTCCGGTTGACTTCTGCTGGAGACTTCTGGTGGGTCCACAAGTGGTGCATTGCAGGGTTTCCTCGTTCCCGTCTTGCAATATGCTATAAAAATAAAATGAATTTAAAAAAAGGTCCGGTATGCTCTGCAAGGGAGGACGGAAGAAGTTCACGCTTGTTCGGAAACAGCAGCCCCGCAGCAGCAGCAGCAGCAGCCAAAAAAAAAAACGAAGAGAAGAAAATAAAAACAACAACGACTACGACGACGACGACGACGACGACGACGACGACGACGACGACGACGACGACGACGACGACGACGACGACGACGACGACGACCACAACCACAACCACAACCACAACCACAACCACAACCAACAACAACAACCAACAACAACAACAACAACAACAACAACAACAACAACAACAACAACAACAACAACAACAACAACAACAACAACAACAACAACAACAACAACAACCAGAGTGACCACGACCACGACCACGACCACCACCGTCACCACCACCACCCGCCACCACCACCACCACCCCCACCACCACCACCACCACCACCACCACCACCACCCTACGACCACGACCACGATCACCACCATCACCACCACCACCACCCGCCACCACCACCACCACTACGACCACGACCACGACCACCACCACGACCACGACCACGATCACCACCACCACCACCACCACCACCACCACCACCACCGCAACCACAACCTCAACCTCAAGCACAACCACAACCACAACCACATCCATCCCAAACAAATCTGAAGCGCTGCGCGGATGCTGTGGCCCGAGCGGTCTCACCAGGCTCTTCTGAGTCGCTATCGATAACCTCCACTGGGTCCTTACGGGTGAATGCCGCTTGTGATTGTCTGCCACGGCAAGCCCCATCAAGTCGCAAACCTGGTATGAGAGGGGTCTAGCCAACACCATGTTAAGGATAAAGAGGTCGATATTTCTTGGTGGGACTGTCTCTTACTAACCTTCATCTACGCTGGAAGGCTCAATCTACAAGTAAGTCTTCGCCAAGGCCAGCACTGGCGGAAGGCCTGACAGATCGCTCTGCGGACATGTTCGGTGGGTCCAGAGTCCAAACGCAGGTAGCCTTTTTTGGTGTGACCATGATCCAGTATGGGCCTTGGAATTGATGAGCTTCTACTCAGGAAACACCAAGGAAAGCAAGACTTGGATCTTTATTTTTTTCGAGGGCAGCCTTTTGGGGAGGCTTTTTTGGGGCAGCCAAAAGGTGTAACCACCCTTCCACTAACATAGAACCTGTGGGAGGGTACCTGGAAAATAATTTCCCTCTTCAATGGACCCTCGGTCAGGTGCCATGTTAGTGAGAGTAAGGGTAACCACCCAAGATGGTTGGGTTCAAAGATTTTGCAACATACCCAATGATCATGCCCTACCCAGCCTGGCCAGCCAGGCAGCAGCGCGCCTGCGGCCAGCGAGCCCTGTTTGTTGATTAGTATCTACAAAAAGGGAGCTATGCATGTCTGGTTTCCGTGGGGCAAGTTTGGAGGGCAACACCCCCAGATCTAAGTAGAACCCGTTGGGCGTGTCCAACTGATTTTAATGGATTAAGAAACTGGGATGTGTATTCATCCGGCTCAACACCCGTTTCACCTTCGTCAAAAGGGAACGAGTTGGCGTCGCTGGAGGGTACCATTGGCCACTACTATTCCGCACTGTAGATTCCATGTGACCAAGCATTGTACATTGAGTTGTCCTCAAGGGCGGTTGCCTTGTTACGACTATTCACAGAAATGGAATCACTGGCATGGATTGCACGCTTGAAAATGCCATAAAACCAAAGTTGGTCCGACATTGTCCCACAATGGTCCAACTGAAATGGTGACCCAAAATGGTCCAACATTCTTGCCCATCTAAGTAACCAACTAACCAGTACTCGAATCCGATTTGAGCGTCTGTGGCTGTTGCAACCCAACGCGGACATGTGGGTTTCGCATGACATGTGGGTTTCGCATTCGCGACTGGCAAAAAAGAGAGAGTGAGCCATGCCTGGCTGCCGCAGCGTCAGGGCAGTGCGCGCCATAACCCAAACCTGGCAGCGTTTGGAGGAGTCGAATGGATGTTTGTGAGGCGGTTTACATGTGTATCTTTTCCAGTGTATCTTTTTGTGAGTGCAGTGGGTGTCTCTTGTTCAATGAGCGGTCTTCATTTTCCGGATTCATCCTTTTCTTCACACCCGAGTGAAAGCTGGCCTGGATGTCAGACGGCTGCTTCAGCAAAACGACGAAAAGCTGGCTGTTCAATTTGTCGAACTCCTCTGAGCTTTGAATGACCTCAACTTTCCAGGTCGATGGTCGCGACTTGGAGCTTGCAAGCTCTGCCTACAGCCAGCGGCATGCTCACGCCAACTCAACGCCAGCTCCCAATTTGGGTGTGGCCCTTTTAGGACTCAAACCTTCGACATGGGTGACCTTGTCCTTGTGGTTTTCCTTTAATGAAAAAAAAAGGAACCCGCAAAGAAAGGGGACGTGTTGAGAGGGGAGAAACCCACGAGCAGAGCTTCCGGACGCGCGCTCGATCGCTTCGTTTCCTCGTGCCTTTTCCAGCCGAGGCGATCCGTGTAGTCCATGCAAGCGCAAGCGCTTGCGCTCTCGGAGCTCCGCAAGGAGCCGGCGGAACAGGAACCTTTCTTGCGACTCGGTGGTGTTTGGTCTCAAATAAAACACTATAAAAACATAGATGGGACTTGCATGTTCTTGGGTTGTGGCTTCCCTTTAAAAAAAAAAGGCCAACCAAAAGAGAGTTCCCAAAAGCCAGACACACCCAGATTGACAAAACGCGTCCCAAAGAGCTAAGCAACAAGACGCCTACGCCAGCCTTTCAGAGCTCCTTTCAGGCGAACGTCCGACAGTTTCTGTCAGAAACCCCCTGTACAGCTCAGGTCGAACGCAGAACCTGGGAACCTATGAAACCGGCGGGAGCCGATCCGCTGCCAAACGAATCTCTCAGAATTTCCCAAACAAAAAAAGAGAACAAAACCATATGCGGGTGATCCCAAAAAACACATGCCCTTTGAAAAAACTTCACGACTCCCGCACTTAGAGAGAGAGAGAGAGAGCGGCAAAACCCGACTCAGAGCTCTCAGAAGGGGAACTGAGCGTGCACCTGCTGGTACTGCCGCCGAAAGTCGCCTGGATTCGCCGAGCCAAGCGATCAGCTTCCTACTAATTGGTGGGGAAAACCCCATTTACCCTCCACAAGAACCAGGGACCCGTTGAGATCTAAACCAAACCACCAATCCAAACCTCCAATTAGGGGCTACCTTATTCAGTGAACGTAAGTTGTTGGCAACCTAGGAGAAGCACACCCACAAGTCCGTGAATGTGGGGTTAACCTCGTTATAAGCTGAAGCGGCTCGGCGGTCAAAAAAAAAACACGTGTGCCCGGCCGAAGCTTCGCCAGTCGCGTTTGCTGGCCTGGCCACAGGCGCAAACGGGCCCATAGCCCCCCACCCACCCACCAAACTCACCCAAAAATAGATGGATATGCTTGGGATGTCCCTTGAAACCACCCTATATATATATATATATGGACATTATGTTTCTTGGCAGACCCTTTGGGTGATTAGCATTTATAGCCATACTGTGGATGGACAAAATCGTATGAAGAAGGGGGTACACCACCTACCCGCAGATTTGTCCATCCACCGGCCCAACGGCGTATTGCAAGCAACCAGAACCAATCAAAAGAACAGCTCGTGGACAGGTGACAGGTGCATTCAGAATCCACCGGCAGGTCCGCCTCGATGACAGGCAGTGCACTTTGGGAGAATATCCAGTACCAGGCCTTGAACAATGCGCAAATGTCAAGACCGACATGGAAAGCCAAAGGAGAAGCCAATGAAAAGCCACAGGAAAGCCAAGGAAATACCCTCTTGGGGCAAATGGCTTACTAGGCTGACTAGGAAAAGCCAAAGGAAAGCCACCCATTTCGGGGTCCGATTCCCAGATACATGGCTTACCGCCACCGGCATGGCGCTCCCATGGCCATGGCATTCAGCCTTGGTGCGAGGCAAAAGCGTTGAGGTCCTGCCTCGGTTGGCTTCACCAAAGGACTCCAAAAGACGCGAACTTGTTGGTCTTTTTGGAGGGTACCCGTGAGGGTTGTTTTGTTCTGGAAACCAAAAGCAAAACCCACAGTTTGGAGGGGTCCCCGATTTTGAAGCCAAACCCACGCAGGGAGTGAGTAAGCCGATTGCGTGGCAAACGGCACCTTTCGAGTTCTAGGCCCGAAAAAGTCCTCCCAAAGGATAGGCAGAAGGTCAGCAGGACATCTGAGAGCCATCCGAGGCGCAACAAAAGGCCGCCCTCCGTCGCATCTGCGGTGCCCTGGCTTGCCTCCAGGCCATGTTTCGGAGATCCGAAGCACTTTCGGGATTGCTTCAAGTCACCTGCGGAAGTGAGTGGGTTGCCCCCCAAAAAGTCATTTTGTTGGTGAGTTGTTTTTGGTTTAGCGCCAAAATGGTCCAACCCCGACAAGTGACTACACTCCGAAACGGAACTCACGGACTGAGTCACTGAGGGACTGAAGGGAAGCCACTCACTTTCGGCACCCGCCTCCACAGTCCACCGGCCCAGGCGATCGCTCAAATCCAACAGCTCCATGTCGCATTCCTGAGAAAAAAGGCGTCCAATCCCGAAGTGGACAAAAAAAGGGTTGCTGGTGCGAGGGATGCAGGGGAATGAGAAATGGAGTCTGACAAAAAAAAAAAAAAACATCCCAGCGGCGGTTTCCTTTACTCAGGCATCCCCAGGTTCGTTGCCACATTGCCTACTTGTCGCACCAGCAAGAAAAGGTTGGTGTTGCAATTTGCTCGGGCCAATGTCTGGTTATCTTGGTAAAAGGGGCCTCCTCGTCCAAAGCGGTCTCACAGTTTCGGGAAATGCCAACCCGCAGTTTTTCAGGCACCCCCTAGTTGGTGGTCTGGATTGGCGGTTTGGATTTGCATCTCAACCTGATTCTTGTGGAGGGTACATGGGGTTTTGCCCTGACCACCAAACCGCCAATTGGAGGGAAGCTGAGTCTTGCAGGGGTTCCCTTGCAAAGCATGTCTTTGTTTACCTTCAGATCCTCAGAGATCGGTGTCATCCTCAACTCGATGCACAAACACACGGTGCAGCAGAAAGAAAATGCGCGCGCGCCTCCACATCGTCATCTAACACGCGGCAGAAGGCCCCCTGTCCAAGATCGATACGTGGCAAGACGCGTGTGAGGTCCTCCAGGTGGCCTTTTCACCCGGGTATGGGTCAAAATTAAACCACCGGGATAAGGACCGCAGGTTTTAGTCCATGCTTCCATTTACCACGGTTCCATTTTGGGTACCTATTTTTGACCCACAGCCACCTTGGTCTGAAAGGAAACACCCAAAAGTCACATTCTGGGGGTTCCACCTCATCTTAACACATACCGTTGCATACCCAAAAGTCTTTGCGGACTGGCAATAAATGCATCAAAAAGGAGTGGTCGAAGGTTGAAGAGATCCGATCAACACCCGCTCTCCAAGGTTGATTCGGGGCGCCAAGAGAGTCCATCAAACAAACAACACCAAAAAAAGCAACAAAGAAAACAAAGCAACCAAACAAACGCACAAAAACAGACAACCGAACAAGCAAGCAAGCAAGCAAGCAAGCAAGCAAGCAAGCAAGCAAGCAAGCAAGCAAGCAAGCAAGCAAGCAAGCAAGCAGGCAGGCAGGCAGGCAGGCAGGCAGGCAAGCAACCAAAAAAAGGAAGGAAGGAAGGAAGGAAGGAAGGAAGGAAGGAAGGAAGGAAGGAAGGAAGGAAGGAAGACAGCAAGAAAGCAAGAAAGAAAGAAAGAAAGAAAGAACAACTAAACTCACTGACTGACTGACTGACTGACCGACCGACTGACTGACTGACTGACTGACTGTCTGACTGACTATTCAACCAGCTAACCAGCAAACTAGCGAACCAACAGACTAACAAGCCAACGAACTAGCGATCTAACGAACCAACAAACTAACGATCTAGCGAACTAAGAAACTAACAAACTACCGAACGAAAGAAGATAACTTACTAGCATAAACAAACAAACGACAAACAAAAAAACAAACTAACTAACTAACGAACTGACTAACAAACTAACAAGCTAACAAAGCAACGTGAAACAAACAAATCAAAACAATCCATGCCAAACCAAATCAGAACAAAAAAACAACACAAGCAAGCAAGCAAGCAAGCAAGCAAGCAGGCAAGCAAACAAACAAACAAACAAACAAACAAGTAATCAAGCAAGCAAGCAAGCAAGCAAGCAAGCCAGCCAGCACGCAAGCAAGAAAGCAAGCAGTCAAGCCAAAAAGCAAGCAAGCAAATTGGCAAACAAGCAAACACAACAAACAAAGAAACAAACAAAAACAACCAAACCAAACAAAACCAAAACAAACAAACAAACAAACAAACAAGTTAAAGAACGAGCGAACGAGCAAGCCCGTCTGCAAATGCATGGCAGAACTGGCCTGCCTCCAGCAAAGCCTTGTCAATACCTTCAGTTGCAGGCTTGAAACACTAAGGCATCGGGCCATGTGTCTCACAGAGTGATAAACTACACCTATCTTGACAGGCCCCCCAGATCGCGGCTTGCGGCTGTCAGTCCTATCATGCTGCTCCCCACAAGCCATTGTCATGTTTGCGCGCCACAAACAATTTACGCATGTGCGCGTAAATACTTATATATACATATATATATATATATATGCTGTATATATATATATACATGTATAGCCGACACATGTATTTTAGCAAGCGGACAGTGTTTCTTTTACCAAGGAATGCCTAGCCCCCACCATGGCTGGAATGTGTTGGTTTCTTTGTTTGTGTGTTGCCCATTGCATTGTCTGCCAAATGCTGTGCAACATTTCCAGTGGAGGGAGATAAAGAACAAAACGATAACACTACAAAAGTGAAAAAAAAAAAAAAAAAAAAAAAAAAAAAAAAAAAAAAAAAAAAAAAAAACTCCATGTCATGGGGGGAAGGGGTAAGACGAGTGTTTTGGCAGTTTGCTCTTTTTTCTCTGAGTCCACTGTGGAAATGGGTGCTACTATGAATCCTCCGAGGCTGGAGCCAGGTGTTTCATGCATATATATATATATATATATATAGCTGGGGTTAAAATAGGTTTGGGGGGGGCGGTTATGCATCTGTATATGCAGAGACAGCGAGAGAGAGAGAGAGAGAGAGAGAGAGAGAGAGATAGCACATTTCATTGCCTCTCCGGAAAACTGAAGCCTTGCTCGTGGGCCTTACAGTTTCCAGGTGCCAGAGCTCTCGCTGCTCTCCGAGCGGCAGGTCTTTGCCGATCGCAGGAGGTAGGCCACACAAACCTGGCGTCCAACAAACGTTGCGCTGCGCAATCCAAAGAAACTCCTCAATCCATGCTTTTGCCCTCAATCCACAAACCTGACGTTCAATCCAAAGAAACTGTCGTTCCCCCTCGCATGTTTTTGGATGAGTATCTTTGGATGAGCAACGTGGACTCCAAGACTCCCCGCATGCTTCGCCCCTCGCATGCTTTTGGACTCCCTTTCGACGATGACAAGGTCCAAGCCAGCTGACACCAAGCCACGAGTGCGCTTGAGCTGAGCTTCTCACCAAAGCAGGGACTGCCAATCGCTGCGACGTCGCCAATGCCTCTCCTCCACAAAATGTCTAAACGAATTCGCGGCCATGCGAATTCGTGTGCTTGTGACAACTCCGCAACTAAGATCCCGCTGCTGACTTTGCGGTTACAACTGGTCACAAGTATCTGGTAGAGTACAAGTGAACATGAAGATGGATGGGCTGATTCCAACTCTTGCGCATGTGCATTTTGTTTCTTGAATCGGACCTGATCACATGTAAGATGGCCCCTACACCAAGCCTCTTCTTCTCGCATGCATAAGTCACCGCATCCCGGCGCTAATCTGTCCTACGGAGCAAGCCACACGCCGCTCTCGCTCATCCAGCACGTCCTAAGCGTGGACTGCAACAGGCGCATGCCAATCCAAGCTCCGTATGGGTCAAAATGCGACCCCAAACATGGGTGGGCCGGTTTTCCTCGTTTCCTTTTGAACCAACCAACCACCAAAGGGCACCCTCAAAACAAAGCAAAACAGAGTGCACGGCCCCAAAACACACCTCGCTGCCCTGAACTTTGGGTGAAGGCTCTGCCGCCAAGCAACGGACATGAGCTTGGGCGGTGCCTCTTGGCTTCCTCAGGGAAAGCAAAAATGCAAACGTGCGCGCGCCTCCCAGCTCTGGACGAAATCCATGTCCCATCCCCGGTGCATACCAGCCAAAAAGGGTTTCTTATGATGTCAAAGGCTCAGAGCACGGCGGCTGTTTCCGGGGTCCCTGAAAAAAAGAAGAGAGGGTACGCTCCAAAATGGCACGCAGGCATCAAGCCTGCATCCAGGTCGATGGGACATTCCGTTCGCATGACGAGCTCTCCAAAGGGGCTTGATGTACCTCGCAAGCCGGGCCAGCGCATGGAATGTGTGGAGCATAAGGCGGCCTGCAAAGAATTGTGGCTTTCCTTTCGGTGTCCCTTGAAACAAGCTCAGAAACACGCCCGCCCCCCCCCCAAAAAAAAAAAAAAAGGAAAGCTGCCACAGTTGGGCAAAAAAAAATGCTCTTTTGCCTGAAGGTGCCGCAAAACATGTCTGGAAAAGGAAACCCGTGGTGTTTCTCCAAACATTGGCATGGCGCACCGTGTATTCGAACATCGCAAACATAGTCGTCAGCAGCATCATTCTGGCCTGCGGCTCAGGTGCTCAGCCTTTCACACACAAGACATCGTCACTGATTCACTGATCGGCGGGGCCCAAGTTCTATGAGTTGGACTGTACTAAGGACCTGGTAATAAAAGGTGTTAACCTTTGGAACATTGACTAGGGAAACCAAACAATGGTCGACTTGCCAAGTAAAAACCTTTTGGTTCGACTAAAAATGGACCAAACCAGGGAAACCAAAAGTGAAAAGGTCGATTCGCTTTTCGCAAGAAATTAAGTCGGCAACCCATCCTGGAACCCCCGAGAACTGACATGGGTGTCTTTTTCTTGAGGCTCGAAACACCCCTTTGGGGGTTTTCAAAAACCAAATCCCGGGTTTGTCTGAGCGGAACTGTCCAAATGAGTGGTTTGCTGTTGGTCTCCGTGTAAACCAACCCCCCAGTCAGTGTTTGAGGCTACTCCCCTTTTTGTTGCTTTGTTTAAGAAAAACCAAAAGGAATGCCGGCATTTTGCAGGTTTCTTCTCAAAACACGACACACCCATTTTGCGAGGGTTCCATGCAAAGCCCGTTTCGTCTCCGATCGAACTCGCACCTGGACCTGAGACCGGGCTGAAGAGAGCACCCCGGAAATCTTCTGCCTCGAGATCAAGGCACCACATGGGTGTGTCTGTTTTTTGAAGCTACCCTTTTTGGCTGCGTATTAAGGGGGAAAAAAAAACACACAAAAACTATTTGGTTCCCCTATCCTTGGAACCCTTAAGGGCAAACTAGCAACTTGGATCCCCTATCTTGAGACAAACCCACATTGCCATCAATTAGATGCTGGGACACATTACCTCTTGGCCGTCAGGGGGAGAAAAGGAGAGATCCACCTCAAAATGACCTGAAACAGTGTCTGGTCACATCCAAAACCCTGAAATTTACCTCAAAATGACCTCAAACAGGGTCTGGTACAAAGTTTCCAGTCAAAGTTCCAACACAAGTCAAAGTCTGCGGAGTTCCAAGAACCTTTTGCTTCAGCAGACCGCACTGCGCTGACCAAAGGCAGTCATCCATTGCCACTTCCTGCCTGAGAGGTATCAAGAAAGGCCAGGAACTGGTTGGGCAAGCCGGCCTGACAGTTCTCGTAGACCTCGCAACACCGGCGCCAAAACCTCGATTCGTGTACCTCCTTTTCATCCCGGGTCCTCCTTGGAGACTTGCCCAAACCGACAAAAAAAAAAGTGTTGAACTGGCACAGAAGTTCCTTGCCCAGTGCCGGCTTAGCAGAAATGGGCGAGGTTCCTGTTTGAGGCTTACCTGAGTCATAATCAGATATTAAAATGGTCGTCATCCCAGAACCATGTAAAGAATTCAGCAGGCGGCCGCGGCTCATTGTGGTTGGGAGTATCCCTTCATCTACCCGAGTTTTGATTGTGGATCACCTCTTCTCGAAGGACTTAAAGGACAGGCGACTTTGAGGGTTCCTGCTGCGATAGGTAGGGCATGAGGATTGGAATGAACCCAGGCTCTGGTCCCCTGAAAGGAAACCACCTGTTGTATGATTTATCTTGTGGTCATTCCAATTCTCAATGCTCATTCCCTACCTATCACAGCAGCAAGAAAAAGGTCACACCCATTTTGGCATAGGTGGCCTTTTGGAAAAATAGATGGGTTTCCCTGGTAAATGGGGCATAAACCCCATCCAAACCAGGAATCGCCCTCAATTGTTTAAAGCAAACCAACCAAAAAAGGACACCTAAGCATGTCGGGACCAAGCGCCAGTCACCAAACCAAGCTGCTCCAGTGAGGGACACCACGGCCCCACAGTCCCCGGCCCAGCGGATGTCCCCTACCCACGCCTGGCCAAGGCGATTGGGCAACTCGCTCAACTGGGCTGCGCCCTGCTAGAAGTTTAAAGCCTTTAGTGGTCGAGTGGAAACTACCACTAAACCCTGCAAAAAACTAAAGACCTAAGGAACCAAATGGCTGGGAAGCCAATAATAGTTTGAAGCTTTTAGCCAAAAGCATCCACTGGCACCACCGAAAATGACTAGGCTGATGACCAAGCCGCTAAGGGGCTGATGACTAGGCTGATGGCCATTTTTACCAATGTCAAGAGCTGGTTGCGTGGAAACTACCACTAAACTCTGAGAAAACTGGAGACCTAAGGAACCAGACGGCCGGGAAACACCAATTCAAAATGCATGTAAGTGGCTTGCCCAGTTTGGACCCGGAAATAAAGGGTGAGATCACCTTTTGCAATCGCAAATGTGGAAACCACATCAGGGAAACCAAAAGGTTAAAAGGTTGGCACTGGTCAAGTGAGGCTTAACGCCTTTTCATTGTTCAAGAATGGATCCTGCCAATACCAAATGCGGACAATCCATGGTCAAAACCGTGCATCGATCGCAAGCAACTTGGCCAGCTCTGCTTTGACATATGTGTCGCTCGCAGCGACTTTGCAAGATGTGCGGCACCTCACATGAAGCTATCTGGCAATCACGGCAATCACAAGCTGAACCTACAAATCAGTCTCCCGTGACTTCACACATCAGCACAAATAAAACAAGTCAAGTACCGTTGCGCACTCAACAACATGATGTCCTGCTCTTGTCCAATAACCTTGGGAATTAGCAAGAGTTGCCTGAACACTGCCACCAACGCGCCTAGATCGCTGCGTACGTCTGTGGCAAGCCAGTAGCGAAGCCACTACCAATGATCCTGCCCACGAGACAAAGTCAAGCCACCGGGGACACTCTTCCGGCCTGAAAGGCGACTTGCTCTGCCGCCGCTATCACAGATGGGCCTGCACACTTCAACATGCTGCATGGGCACTGCCTGTGTCCAACGACTACGGCACCCACCGCCTTCTGTTGGACAGCGGTGTGCCATGTGTTCCTCCCAAGCTTTGGATGCCACACCAATCCAAACTGTCACAAGTGTCCCACCTCGCAAGCTGCTCGCCAGCTGGTTGCTGCCCAGGGCCTTAAATCGTGAGGCCTCTTCCGTTCAGCCTTAAAAATCACAAACAACACGGTGACAGACATGCAAGATCAGCCCTCCACAAAGCTCAGATCCATGGCGAAACTGGAAAGCAACGTGTTTCCCTGACCGGCTGAAACCTGTCATTTTTGGCGTGCTATACCTCTTCGTCTCCACAAAGCATCTATTGGCCTCCGGTGACCTGTCATGGAATTGTGTCTACAGCGCCATATTGGCTGTTGGGCCGTTGTGCCACAAATCTCAAGGTCTCCATGCAAAGGTCCGGTCAGGATTGCTTCATGGTTGGAAGAGCTGGGCTAATCGACATTTCTTTTTGTGATTCTGTTTGAGGAGATCGACTGCTCCACGTCGAATCATGTGCTGCGTTTGGCGTGCCTCCCAAGTCGGATGTCGGAATGTTTTGTTTTTGTTGTTGAGCTCTTGATTCAAGAATATCCAGGTGAAAGGTGCTGACCACAATACCCACTATCTAGTGTGCTTTTCATGCGCAGGGACCAAGGCCTGGCAAAATGATTGAAAGAGCTGACAACTTGCCGAAGTGCTCTCAACAACCATGCCAAGAAAGGAATGGTGGTTCAAGTGCTGGACAAATTGCGCAGTTGTTTGAAGGGACGCTTGTCCAACAAACGATTTTTGCAAGATAGGTGTCGGGTGGTTTCGGGATGGCAAAGTGCTGTTTTAGTTTGTTTGCCACATCCCTGGCATCCAAACATCCCCAGTCAACCTCGTCGGCATGGAGCCAGGATCACAGAGTCGAAAACCAACCCGTGAACTATGAATGAATGAACTTATTAAATGAATAAAATGAAATAAATGAAATGAAAGAAATTGATTGAAGCAATGAAAGGAATGAAATAAAATTGGAAAAATGAAACGAGACGAAATGAAATGGAAAAAATAAAACGAGACAAAATGAAATGAAACGAAACTGAATGAAATGAAACGAATAATGAAAATCAAATTAAATGAAATAGAATTGAATGAGATGAAAATGGTTGAAATCAATGGACTGAATGGAACGAAGTGAACGAAATAAATGCAATGAATGAAACAAGTGAAAATAATGAACTGAAGGAACTGAATGAAACGAATGAAAAGAATGAAAAGAATGAAAAGATGGCATGGATGAAACGAACGGACTGATTGGAAACGAATGAAACGCATGAAACTAATGAATGAATGAAACAAATCAAAAGAATAAAATGAGTGCAAGTAATGAAAAATGCAATGAATGGAAATGAACTGAACGAAGTGAGCATAATCAATGAAATAAGTGCAATGAATGAAACGAATGCAACAAGTGAAATCACTGAAACAAATGGAGCTGATGAAACAAATGAAATGACACACATTTTTTGCCCCTATGCAGCGTTCCATGTCGAGCACGCGTCTGCACATTGAACAATCGTGAAAGCGGACAAGGAAAAGTATGGATCACAAAGTGAGTGAGACAGAATGCAAAGATGAGCGCTGTCAACCACGGGAACAAGCAGCAAAGGGAAACGACACAAACAACAAAAACCGACAAAGAGGAGAGAGACAGCGCAAAGCCAGGTAAACTCAGGCGGTGGCGAGTTCCCACATGCTAGTGAAAGCAAAGATAAGCTGGGTAGCTCAGGGTCCAAAACGGAAGAGAAGCCAAGCAGAAGTGAGACGCTAGGCCCTACACCGCATGACACCCTCCCAAAGGGGCCGCAAAACGGGTCGCATTTCTCGCACGCCACCAATAGAGCCAGAATCGCTCCAGCAAATACACAGCGGTTGTAATCAGAAAAGAAAATGCAATACTCCACCGACGTCTCCACATTTGTAGCAGTCAGACAGAACATCGAAACAGAGCAATACCCGCGCCTGTAAACAAGAGGACTGTGACCATCTCCACGTCCAAAAAAACAAATCAAAAATGAGAGGAGGCTCACGCCACACCATCCCAGCATTGCCAAGACTGAAAATATAACCAGGACTGTCCTCCAAAGCAAGTAAGCACCGTAAGCACTGTAGAAAAACAGCTGTACAAACCATCGGAGTCCCTTCGCCGTACCACAAGCAATGCGTATCGTGTGTGGTGAGGCAAAAGGACAGAGGAGATTGCGACCGCAGCACCCCACCGCCGTCTCCGCAAAAATTAAACAGCTGTAAAGAAAGGCAGCACAAAGCCGCCAAGCACCAAATCATTGGCAGCAGTCATCCACCAGGGTAGGAAATGGTAACCACTGTACGCCATCCATATAACTTGCAAATGAGAGCGAAGGCACAACACAGGCATCACCCGGAAGATTGTGCCCCCCATAAATTGGCGCATCCTAGATGCGCATCAGCAAGTAAACCGGATATGACAGAGGAAAGGACAACCAGGGGCAGCTAACCATCGCTCATACTCACGAATTCACAAATTGAAGCGGGAAAAAGGAAACATCATCCAACTGGGCATCCAGCCCAGACACACGAGTGGCATATATCCTCAGGCAGGCAACACGACGGAGGTCGGTGCGGACACGACCGCCTCGGCCCTGCTGCTGAAGCACAAGTTCCTCGACGGAGGGGCCGACGACGTCACGCTGGCATGCTGCTAAAGCCCGCCCTAACCACATTGGGCAACTTCCTAGTGCGCTCCAACAGCCAGAGCTCCGTGGCCTCTGCCAGCTTCACGGCTTCTGGAATTGTGCACCTACACCCTGACGCGGGGAGACGCTACTCCTTCGGGCGCCGGCACCGGCTGGGCACGGCTTCCAACTTGGTGATGTACGTCAGACGACTACGTGGGCGTTACCGGCACCTTCCTCGACACGGCCGCGCAAGGAGTCTGAGCACGGCGCGCCTGGACTTTGGGGGCTCCCGGGGCGCCTTCGGCGGGTCGATCCCCGGGCTGGTGCAGCAGTCGGCGGGCACGCTGGACCTGTGCAGCTGCAGATCAGGGTCTCCGTGACGGACCTGCTGGCCAACTTGCGCACGGGCTCGGCCACGCTGGACGGACTCACCGCGCAGAAACGTGGGCTGCGACCAGCTGCTGTGCAACAACGTGCTGCACAGACGGGCGTGGACGCCTTGGCGCAATCTTCTGAGTAGTAAGGAACATAGGCTTGCACCCAATTAATTTTCGTTTTTGGGTCGAAAAACCCTGCAAAACAGCCAAATTCTCCATCCTGCTGAACGTTTTTCCGATGTCACCGGTCGATGTCACCGCTCCGTTTTGGGTCGAAAAAGTGCTCAAAACGGCTAACTTCCCGAATTCCCGAAAAGCTCGTTTTTTCCTGTCAGACGGTGCCTCAGCCTCTAGATTTGCTCGGTTTCGGCCGAAAACAGGCTCCAGACGCGCACGCTGCTCTCGATTTCCGCTTTCTGCCCCGGAAAGCTGGCAAGTTCCATCCCGCTGAGCTTGTCACCACTTGTCACCGCTACGTCGCCGCTCTCTTTTGGGTCGAAAAAGTGCGCAAAAACGGCCAAGTTCCCGACTTCCCGAAGACTTTGTTCTTCACACAATTTTCCGTTTTTCGCCCAAGCACGGCAGCCTGCCGAGGTCCTCGCTCATGACACGGCAACCTGTCGAACTTGTCACCGCCTTCGTCACCGTGTCTAACACGCCAACCTGCCGAACGTCCAGAGGGACTTCCAGGGCTTGAAATCTTGGCAAGTTTGAGTCAATTTTGAATCGGCTTGAAACAATTTTGGTTCATCAATGGGCAAAGGTTGCCCGGTCGCAGGCGGGATTCGAGCCCCATACGCCGAGCTTGTCACTGCTTGTCACCGCTTGTCACCGCTAGCCACCGCTCGTCCCCGGGGCGCTTTTGCGCGGAAGTCGCTCGTCACCGGTGCGCTTGTCACCGGGGCGCTTTTGGGTGGAAAAAGCAGCCAGCTGAGCTTGTCACCGTTTGTCACCGGTACGTCACCCCCCCCTGGAACGCGGCAAATCGCAGAGACCGGGCTTGACCACTGAGCCAATGGATCTTTTGGACATTGCTTTTGGGTGGACAAAGCAGTATCATCCACTGTCATACGGGCCTGGCGCGGGCCTGGCGCGGGCCTGGTAAACGGGCCTGGTGCGGGCCTGGCGCGGGCCATCAATCCTGCGCGGGCACAGGATTGCCCCCATCAATCCTGCGCAGGCAACAGGGTTGCCCCCGTCAATCCTGCGCTGGTCACAGGAGTGCCCCGATGCAGCTCGAGCTCAGGCTCGTGATGGAGTCGGCCCTGCTGTAGAGCTTTCAGGCCTCTGGCACGTCGTTGATGCTTACGACGAAGGGCAGGCCGCTCGCGAAGAGTGTGTCTCGGAGCTCCGAGTAGAAGGCCAGGTCGTGCCCCCGCCCCTTCGTGCCATAGTAGTTCATACTTCGGCCGGGGAAGATGTAGGGAGGGTCGGCGTAGATGCAGGTCAGCCAGGGCGCCTGACAGGGCAGAGCGCGCAGATAGGCCAGCGCGCCCTGGCGCCGCACGACCACATTGGACGGTGGCCGATGCAGACGCCGCACGCTGCTCAGTGCCAGTGCCCCATTTTCCCAAGAAGCAGGGCGTACGAGCAGGCAGCCGACGCCCGGCACGGCGCCCGGCAGGAGGTGCCTGAAGTAGAAGCGCTGTCCACCTTGTGCCCCACCAGGCACAGCAGGGAGCGAATAAGAAATTCCCCAAGACGGATCTTTCCGCCTCCAGCCCAGCGACCGCCTCTCCTGGGAATAAGAAATTCCCCGAGACGGATCTTTCGCCTCCAACCCAGTGACCGCCTCTCCTGGAAACAAGAAATTTTCGAGACGGATCATTCCCCGAGACGGATCTTTCCACCTCCAGCCCAGCGACCGCCTCTCCTGGGAATAAGAAATTCCATGCTCTGAGACGGATCATCTCCGAGACGCTCCAGCCCAGTGAGCGCCTCTCCTTGGGAAAGTATTTCCCCAGGCCCGAGACGGTTCTTTCCGCCTCCAGCCCAGTGAGCACCTCTGCGTAACCTTTTTGCCTGCAAAGCCCATTTCCAGACTAATTGCTACGTTTTTCCGGAAATGCTCGTTGTACGCGCGCGCCCTGGTGGGCTAGCTTGTTTAGCACGAATTTGCATGGTTTTGACATTATTTTGCTTGATTTTCGCATG